GAATCCTACAAGTGCCGATGTCGCGACGACTTTGTGGATGAATCTCCGGATATTGCACGACGACCAGGTAGAATCTGCCGTCCAGCTTTGGTCGATGAATGCCGTTTGGGAAAACACGACTGTCATAGTGATGCATTCTGTCAGGTGGGGTGTAAGAGATGGAGTTTTAGCGTAAAAACATTGCATAACCGAAAATTGTGCACAACCCCATTACCTTTTAGGACCTTCCTCAAGGCTACACCTGCAGATGCAAGCCGGAGTTCTTGGACCAATCTCCTCATCGTGCTACTCATCCAGGCCGACTTTGTGTGCCACGTCCGACACCTCCTCCGCCCGAATGCCGAATAGATGGTCCCAATCAGTGCAAAGCTCACTTGAATGAGGTCTGCCGTCTTGTGAATGGCGAACCGAAATGTGCCTGTCCAATCAACTATCAAAGAGACTCCGCCGGTTCATGCTCAGGCAAGTTGCACAAAGAAATTTTTTTTAGATTAGAGATAAGATATCTCATTATTTCGGTCCTTTAATTGTCTGGCAGATAATGTCCTGGATCAACTACCATTAGTTCACACTCTAAGTTGCGTTCTTTCTTCGCTGCACGATAGTCTCTACAAATAGATTCATTTAAAACTTTAAGAATCTCTGCAAACAATCTGTTACGCCAGGCAGAATAAGTTTTGTAGCAATCTATTTCGTGATTGGGTAGTTTGCCAGCAGTGGCTTTTGATCAAATATATAAAATAAAATTTCCTTCCTCCCCAGATGCACAGAATAGGTTAGCATTTCTTAATGTCATCCAGTTCAACTTCATTTACTTTAGTAATCAACGAGTGCGATTTTCCACAACTTGTTGACTGTCATCCATCAGCCGACTGCATTGACCAACTCGTCGGATACACATGTCGCTGCAAGAGTGGTTTTAAGGATATTGGAGATAAACCTGGCAGAATGTGCAAACCTCGTAAGTTCAACCATACGAGAATATTATCATCCAAAAGCTTCCTAATCGATTGAGCGGTAATTTCTGGAATTAAGAACAGCTCAAGTAATCCTGAACATGACAGGAACAGT